GCCCATCATTACGTGCCGCCTCATCGCCCAATGGGTGGCAGCCGCCCACCCCCAACCAACGAGGACACGCCACGTCAACCCCTCTTCCAACGGCTATATTACAACGACTATATTTCGGCAACACTGGGGTGCCCTCGAATGATAGCCTCCGGCTATCACTCACCACAACCTTCAGCCAATGAATTCCAACACAACGCCTTCGATCCGGCAGCAACAAGAGCCTTCGCTTGTCAATGTTGCCACTCCTCGACGCGTATACTGGATGGTAGCCCCCGGCCACCACCTGCGAGAGGCTTCGAGCAGATAATAGTATGAGCTTTCGGCTAACCCCTCGGAGAACCCAACAACACACTATAACTCCTTCAGCCCGAACTCGCCTTCGGCCTAAAGGAGTGGGGGACTGGGATACACCCCTCGGGAATCTTACAGAACAAAAATTTCTTCATACAAAAATTCACAGATAACACATGTAGCCCTCGGGTGCGTACACCATTACACCCTTCGGCAAAGCAAAATGTCAGAAATTTTCCACAAGTCACTTGCGGAAATGAAGCAGCCCTCATCACAACACATGCATGCAATACATCTATGCTTTCCCCAGAAAACCCTCGACATGTGAGGGACTGAGGGGAGCCCCCGGCGAACATGCGAAGGTTATGAATACCTTCCCTCAGAAAACCCTCGACATGTGAGGGACTGAGTGAAGCCTTCGGCATTCAGCAGAAGGCAAGTTCTCCAGCAAAGGCACCCAGCGAAACAAGGCAACCTCCGGGAGGATAAACACGACTACTCCTTTTCCCTCAAGTACCTTTCGGCAAAAGGAGTGAGGGACTCCTGATGGAGTATATGGCCCAGGAACCCCCGGCCCATAGACTCCTATTTCTCCTACACAAGTCCATTGAGCTCAGGAAACAACTCAGGCCCAAATACAACGGCCCAAGCCTCAAAGTAGCCCAGAATACACACTGGGGTGCCTTCGGCCTCCTTGGCCGAAGGCTCCAAAACTCACAGGATAGCCTTCTCTGGCATAAGAAGCTGCTGGGAGAAAACGGGCGAAGACATGAGCCTTCGGCATTCTCATGCCCTCGGCACCAGGGGGAAGCCTTCGGCTGAACCAAGCCTTCGGCTACACAACGAGCCCTCGGCTGCACAAGAAGCCTTCGGCTACACAACGAGCCCTCGGCTGCACAAGGAGCCCTCGGCTACACAAGGAGCCTTCGGCTGGGAGCCCTCGGCTACACAAGGAGCCTTCGGCATAAACAGGCTCAATCATCGAAGATTCCTTTTAGGGACAGCCAACCACCGCATTTAATGCCACGTCACATCCGCCAACCGCATTCAATGCGGTTGACGTACCACTGCCGGTGCCACTAGGCTGATGTGACCCTTCGGCCGTTGGATTACTGACACGTGTCCCCTCATCGCATTTATTGCTGCTATAAATAGCAGCCCATTTCTCCTTGTAAATGACAATCTACATCTCAACTCCACATCTCGAGTTCATTTAATAAAATCGACTCTCTCTCCTCCTATTCGCTCTGACTTCTCTCTAAGTTATTCCCGTAATAACCCCTCGGATAAGATACCCCCCGGGTAGACTATCCATCAGCTCTGTTTGCAAACACAACTAAAAAAGCACTTCCCAGCTTTTGGCTTAAAAAAGCTAAAAAAGATGTTTTCAAATGACAACTTCTACTTAAATGAATTACTTAAAAGCTAAAAGCTAGAATCTGCTTTTTACTTTTTCTATTACACAAAAAGCACTTATTTTACCAAACACCACCAACTTTTACTTTTAAAAATCACTTTTTTCTCAAACACTACCAACTTTTACTATTAATCACTTTTTTATCAAATCATTTAAAAAAGTTAAAAGCACTTCCCAGTTGGGTTTGCAAACAGAGCCTTAATGCACTCCGTTAGTGGCTTTTTTGTTTGAATATTCCGTTACAATTCAATCACTATAATATTATTTTAATATTTAAATAAATAGTACTCCCTCCGTCCCAGAATTAACTTCGGTTTTGACTGGGCACGGAGATTAAGAAAGTGGGAAATGTGTGGTGGAGAGTTGTGCAGAGGAGAGAGAAATGTGTAAGAATGGTTGTGAACCACAAATCCTTTGCTAAAAAGGGAAAGAGGAGATAATTTTGGGACGGACCAAAAAGGAAAGAATGAAGATAATTATGGGACGGAGGGAGTATTATTTATAAAGAAAAATGTTTGGATATGAAAATTGTGTGCCAACTATCTCAATGACCAATCCCGATTACAACTACTTCCGCTCAAGTAACCGTTTCAATAATCCAATTATTATCGAGTTAGGGACATCGCCTCAACTACTACCGTTCAAGTGATGACTGTCTCAGTTACTAGTCCCAAAAGTGATAAAAAATCTATCCGTGGCCACAAAATGATAGTGATAAAAAAACTTTCGGTGACCTGTCCCACCAGTTACCTGCAATCCTCAGTTATAGTTACCCGATTCATCAGTTACAGTTACCGATTCGTAGTTACAGTTACCAGACTCGACTACTTACAGTTACCAGACCCGTTCAGTTACAAATTACCGGCTCGTCCAATTACAGTTATCTGACCCGTCCAGTTACAGTTACCCGTCCAGTTACAGTTACCCATCACATCCAATTACAGTTACCCGACCCGTTCAGTTACAAATTACCCATCCCGTCCAATTTCAGGTACCCGACCCGTCCAGATACAGTTATCTGTCTCGTCCAGTTACAGTTACCTGACTCATCCAGTTATAGTTACTCAACCCATCCATTTACAGTTACCTGATCCCACGAGTTCCAGTTATCTGATTCGTTCAATTATAGTTACCCGATTCGTCACTTACGGTTGCCCGATTTGACCAGTTAACCAGAACAATCATTTACAATGACTCAGCCTAAAAATGATCACCGCCGACTTTCACCTCCGGCCACTACCAGCGACCATCACCTCTGGCGAACACCTCCAGCTACCACCACTGGACCGTTCAAAAATCGCAGCTACTCCTCAGCGACAGCCCCCCTCCCCAGCGACAGCCCCTGCACAGCCCTAGCCCCAACCCCAGCCCCACAACCGCGGCGCTGATGAACCTGCAACCCTAGCCGCGGCCGTAGCTCACCCTGCGACATCTGCTCCATCAAAGACGACTGTGGATCTGTCCGAAGACGTCGACCGATCTGGCGTAAGATGACGTCGATGGATCTGGCCGAATACAGCATTCCAGAATCTCAGAGTTTAGATCTAAGAGGAGAGGACGGCGATGGCGTTGCAGAGGCGATGACGGTGCAGAGGTGACGGAGACGGCGTTGCAGAGGCGACGACGGTGCAGAGGTGTTGGCGAGTCCTTCAGCGGAAGCAAATCGGCGGCGGCCCCTAAGCTCCAACTGCGCGCATCTCCATCTAGATGTCTGGGTTGTTGCGGTAAAACGGCGGAGGAAGATGGGTGGGGGTATTTTAGAATTTTCAATATTTTTTAATCTCTTTTTTGTCCAGAATAGAAGTTGGTTCTATTTTGTCTATTCAAAACCTGGTAGTATTGTTCTTGTCATTATTTCAAACAATAAATATAACCATGTCCATATATGTCCTTCCGCACTGTAACAACTATTCACAATCAGCTAATTTTACCAAACTCTTATCTAGAACAAACTAACATCATGAGACAATCAAAACATCTAATACAATCAGCTATTGATAATCCGCTAACACAATCAGCTAACATTGCCAAACATGGCCATTGTCCGAAATCGATCAGACTTTTTTGTATTGTGCATCACTAAATTTTGAGCCCTCTACATCTTTTTATGACTGCAAACCCATTTGAATAGCTAATAAATTGTTGGTTGCAAAAGAATATGCTACTCCTCACCTACTGTAGACATCATTCAGACATTCATTATAGGATTTTGTAATGTTTGCACTTCTGCACGACTTTCATCGTATACTAAATTTACTAATGTAATGCTTGGGATTGCTTGCTTGAATGGATTGTTTTGCACAATCAGGTATGGTTATGCACTTGTGCTAGGGTGATAAACTGGGCCAAGACAATCCTTGCTACGGAGTAATAGTTAAGAAAATCATGTTGACAAAGTATGTAGACTCGGACCCCAGGTTTCACGACTATTGGGTTTGGACAGCGGCCACACGCCTTTAAGGATACCATTTATATTATTGTACAATTCATATGTCGTTCACACAAAAAGAATACATTTCTCTATGTATATGAACTCTACTTCACTATATTATTGTATCAGCGTTTGGGGGGCGACGACCGAGCTTATCATTCATCATACTCCATATATACTTTCTCAATTTGTCTATTATAATGTCATATTCTCATTCACTACACTTTCTCATTCATCATGTCATTCGTGGAACAATGTCTTTTGCAATATTAAGTTATTAACTAGCTACGCTTTCAATAAGAACGCATCAACTGACATGTTCTATGGGTCTGTTTGCAACAGCTTCTGCTTTTAAAAACAGGGCCATAGATGAGGGCGTACAAGAAGTGCTACCGCACAAGGCATCTCGATTTCAGAAGGCCCAAAATATATATAGTCTATACTTCGTATAATATAATAAATCTTTATTTATTTGAGTAAATATTCCTATCTTAGTACTTCTTTAAATACAATCATTAAATAGTAATATTTATATGTAATTAAAATGCAATTGTTAATTACAATTGTGTAATTCCCTTATTTCACAAGGCCTAGTTAAAGTAATTAGCACAAAGCCCTCGTACAGTTTGGAACGAGCTTGTAACTACTTTATTTTTCATACTTTGTCATTACTTTACTTTCTTAATATATTCTCTTTTCTACTTTTTCATTTACCTTATACCTCTATACTACACCTACTATTTCTTCTTAAAACTCACAAAAAATCTAAGGAGACTATTATTTAAAACCGGTGGAAGTATTAATATAGTGTTTTATACTTGAGGCCTCGTACTCAATTTTTGCACGGGGCCTTCTACATGTCAGGGCCGGCCCTGTTTAAAAAGGTGTTTTTTTTAATGAAATGGGGAGAAGTGATTAAATAAAAGTTGATAGTGTTTGAGAAAAAAGTGATTTTGAAAAGTAAAAGTGGGTAGTGTTTGGTAAAATAAGTGCTTTTTGTGTAATAGAAAAAGTAAAAGCACTTTTGACGCGGAAGCCGAGAAAAATAAAAGTTAGTGTTTGGGAAGTACTTTTTTAAAAGTAGTTGCAAACCAACCCATTCATACCAACAATGAATATGTGTTGTGTTCTTTTTTTAATTATTCAAATGTTACGCACTATTTCATATTGAATAAGATTTCATGTCAATCATAGTAGAATTGTACTAATTCAGTGTTTTGTTATTTGCAATCGTTTAGTATTTGTTGTTCGTTGTTAATTCTTATGTTTTGCATCCGAAACTCTAACAATATAGCTAGCCGTTGTGATGGCATGTGGAACCTTTGTTAATTAAGTTTGATTTATCTTACTCTAATAAATAGATTATTTCGTAAATAATGAATACATTTTTTAACTTTAGTAAAAAAGCGTTTCTCGGCTTTTGTGTTAAAAGTGCTTTTTACTTTTTCTATTACACAAAAAACACTTATTTTACCAAACACTACTAACTTTTACTTTTTAAAATCACTTTTTTCTCAAACACTATCAACTTTTAGTACTAATCACTTTTCCAAAATCACTTCAAAAAAGTGTTTTTTTAAGGAGAAGCATTTGCAAACACTCCCTAAGAGCCTACTAAAAGGCTCTCGTTGTTTGGGTTCTTCAGTTCCAGCTTCTGGAGTGGCACCCCCACCACTATTTTCTTGTTGTTTCCAACCGGGTGACGAGGCAAGGAGGGGGAGGTTTTACATAGAAATACTTCTGGTAGAAGGTTTCAGCTTTATCCGGGAACTTGGCCTTCACTAAGTTTTCCAGGCATTTAAGGTAGGAAATAAATTGTTTGGTACCATCTGTTGACACCGCGTAGAAGCATCTAGTGTCCTGGAAATTACTGTGCTTGATAATCTGTAATTCACGAAATCAATTAAGAGAGCGGTGTTGCCACATTAAGAAAGTACCGTATGGGAATAAGAACTCTACACAGAAGCACAAAAATTGTAAACATAACTAAGAAAATTGCCCAGTCTAGAAACACTAGACTAAGTACTAAAAACATAATTTGTAATAAATTCAAATGCAGTGCTGCAGAGCTTACCACAAGGTAATCAACTCATTCCAATTTTTGAGGCTTTATCCGGATGATAAATGACACCATTCTCAACAATATACGCTTTGTCATCAGGAGTTAGTGGATCGCCATCATTCAACCTTTGATCTCAAGAAGAAGAAGAAAGACAAGTGAAACAAGTTAGAAGGCTATGCACGTTTCATTTGCCAATTATATTGCTACATATGAAAATTGAAACATAGTATCAAGTTTGGCAAGAAGCTCACAAAATTTTATAGAACTTCAAAATCAAATGGAAATATCATTCTTCAAGCAATCGTAAATGAGAAGCAACTTACACAAGTATCAAATTAGATTCAAATGTGCATCCACCATAATTAGTAAATGCGATTACCCTGATTGATGCATTATCCTTCTGATATTTTGCATGATAGGCTTAACCTCAAGGAGAATCTCTTGCTCCTCAGCTGTGAATTTATCCATCCTCTGCCTTGTAAAGGTGAAAGCCACACCAGCACCAGAATCATCAGCTGGCCTTGGTGGGCGGTTTCTCTTATTCTTCCAATGCCCTCCTACGGCACCTGCAGAAGCCCCCCAACTTTGCGGACTTTCATTGTTGTCTTCTCTATTCCTCTTCCGTGGGAGCCATTGAGATTGTCCATTGCCCCCTCGTCTTTGGAGAGCCCCAACCAACACCAACACCAGAATCATTCCTGCCTTCCTTTGCTCCACCAGAGGATCCTACACTCTTGTGTGCGCCCCATTGAGATTGTGTTAAGGACTCGCGTATACAACCTTGTCCAAGGTCTTAAATGAGACCTTAGAGCATCTCCAATACTATAACGTGCACTGTGCACACATGACATGAGAAATGACCACATACATATTAGTACATAAATTCTTTGTCTCCTTATTTAAATGATTTTATATAGTTTTGGTATGTTTTTCTCCACAATGTCAAGGAGACCGTCTAAATGTTGACATTGTTGTTGACATTGCAGGAAAAAACTTACCATAATTGTATAAAATCATTTAAATAAGGAGAGAGATAATTTATTTGCTAATATTTATGTGGCTATGACTCATGCCACATGTGCACCGTGCACGTTAGAGTATTGGAGATGCTCTTAGTATCAATGTTGTTATACTAAGATTATCGAATGACACGGAGAAATACTTATCACGGACTCACGGCGGTAAGTCGAGTTGCAACGCCAGCCGACCACCATATCGCCTAGGTGATAAGGCGCCCGCCTAGGCGAGAATTAGACGACTAGTCATAAATTTTAAAATATATTATATAAAATAATATAATTATATATTATGTATAATATATAACTAATTAAATTGTACTACATATATAATATAACTTAGAATTTGTAAGAACTAAGTTCCAGCTCAGGTCTCAGTCAATTAACATCCACAAAGGATGAAATCAACCACTAGGATCACTTGGGGGAGTTTATGGGCATCTGCCTTCTACCTATTTCCGGCCAAAATCAACGGAGCACCCACAGAGGAGCTACTGGTGAGAAAAGAGATAACAAGGGTTTCGGCCGTCCCGCTCAATCGGCAGAGAAGAAGGTATAAATAGGTCCAGCACAAGAAACAAAGATGGTAAAACTTACCATATCAAAGAGATACGTAAAAGCTCATATGGAAAGAGGATATGCGTGAACCGAGTGCCGCTGGGAAGAAAATTCCATCGCAAGGGAGATGGGAGAAACGAACGGGTATAATAATTTTGGGCCGGGTACCTCCTTCAATTTGGACTTAAGGAAATAGTGGGCCAATACCTAACACATTCTCCACCTTATTGGACCCTAGTGGTGTAGAGCACAACGCTCTAAAACAATTTGAGACTCATCATCGCTGGATTGCCCGAATAATCACAAAGACATATTCAGGCAAAAGGGGTAAGATCACCAGGCAACTTATCCGCAATCAATGTTTAACGTGCGTTTGCACGACAACAACTTTTCGACCGAGAGACATTTAGTCCCCATGTCAGCAGGATTAAATTCCGACGGAATTTTAATCAACTTGATATGACCTGCACTAACAATATCACGTATAAAATGAAATCTAACATCAATGTGCTTAGTTCTATCATGAAAAACAGGGTTTTTACACAATTGAATAGCAGATTGACTATCAGAAAACACACAAATATCCTGCTTAAGACTACCAATCTCCGTTAGGAGACGTTTAAGCCAAATGGCTTCCTTAAACGCTTCGGTAGCGGCCACATACTCCGACTCAGTGGTGGATAGGGCAACAATGGGTTGAAGTTGAGATTTCCAACTAATGCAAGACCCGCAAAGAGTAAATACATAAGAGGTAGTGGATTTCCTATTGTCTCTATCATTAGCAAAATTGGAATCCACATACCCACTCAACTTAACCCCCTCAGAACACCTAGTGAAAACCAACCCATGATTAACAGAAGATTTCAAGTACCTAAGCAACCACTTAAGAGCATTCCAATGATCTAAACCAGGATTAGACATATACCTACTCAAGCAACTAACAGCATAGGCAATGTCGGGTCTAGTACTCACCATGAGATACATCACGGACCCAATAGCATTGGAATAAGGCACAGATTTCATTTTAGCAATTTCAGGAGCAGTCTTGGGAGACTGATCCTTACTTAACACAAAGTGAGACGCCATCGGGATAGAAACGGGAGTAGCAGAATGCATGTTATATTTACTCAAAATCTTTTCAATATATGAAATCTGATTGAGAACTAACACACGCTTACTCCTATCCCTAACAATGTTAATGCCTAGGATCCTTTTGGCATCACCTAGGTCTTTCATAGCAAAGTTCTCACTGAGACGCTTTTGCACACATTTAATGGCGTCACCCGAAGGACTAACAATCAACATATCATCCACATATAGCAATAAAAATACAGGCACAGAAGAAGTATTTTTAAAGTATAGGCAATGGTCGCATTCGGACTTGTGAAATTTCAAAGATGACATGCACTGGTCAAATTTGATATTCCACTGCCTCGGGGACTGCTTCAGGCCGTACAAGGCCTTCCTAAGCAAACACACATGATCACTCTTCATGGGATCCACAAAGCCCTCAGGCTGCGACATATAGATTTTCTTATCTAAATCACCATGCAAGAATGCAGTGGTGACGTCCATTTGCTTCATTTCCCAATCATTATGAGCAACAAGAGCAAGCATCATTCTAATCGTAGTAAATTTAACTACAGGAGCAAAGATTTCAGCATAATCAACACCTTCCTTTTGAGTAAATCCCTTAGCTACTAACCTAGCCTTATATCTAATGTCGTTAGGCTCTTCCTTAACCTTAAATAGCCACTTACAGGCAACAACGGAACTATTGGGCGGTCTAGGAACTAACGTCCAAGTCTTATTCGCTCTAAGTGACTCCATCTCACTTTCCATGGCACAAAGCCATTTAGCGGACTCATTAGACTTAAGGGCCTCTCTATAGGTTCTAGGTTCGTTAAGCTCAAGGGTCTCAAACACAGAGAAAGCAAACATAGAAGTATCACACATATGGAAAGCATAATCAGGCATACTATCAGCAGTTCTCCTAATTACTCTCCTACTTCTATCTCTAGCAAGTTGATAATCATGCAAATCATTCTCACTAGCATCCGCACTCTCATCATGCGATTCATTGTCATTTGAATGCACATGAGAATGCTCCACCTCACTCGAAGTGGTGGTAGTATCATGCTCAGAAGAATCAGAATCATGCAATTCAGAAGAATTAGAATCATGCAAAACAACATTATCATGATTAGCAAACAAAGGGCTAGCAGCACGTGGTATGGACTCCACCTCAACGGGTGTACTACTAGGATCAGACTCAGACTCAGGAACTGACTTAACCAGACAAGGAAACTCGGATTCATTGAAAACAACGTTTCTACTCACCACAACTTTGAAACCTACCTGGTTCCTATCCCAAACCCTATACCCCTTCACACCCTCGGGATAACCTAGGAAGACTCCTTTCTTAGACCTAGGATCCAACTTGTCACCTTGTTGGTGCACATACGCTGCACACCCAAACACTCTAAGATTAGACAAATCAAGGGGTTTGTTTGAAAAAACAGATTCAGGGCACTTCCCACCCAAGGGAACAGAAGGAGACCGGTTAATCAAGTAGACAGCAGTGTTAACTGCTTCACCCCAAAACTTTTTAGACAAACCGGCGGTAGCAAGCATACTCCTAACCTTATCTAGAACAGTCCTATTCATCCTCTCGGCTATCCCATTTTGTTGGGGAGTATAGGGCACAGTTTTGTGCCTTCTAATCCCACAATCAACACACAGTTGGTCCATATCCTTATTGCAAAACTCTAGACCATTATCTGTCCTAAGGGTTTTGACCTTCTTACCAGTTTGATTTTCTACAAGGTTTTTCCACTCCCTAAACTTCACAAAGACATCAGACTTATGTTCAAGGAGACGGACCCACACCTTCCTAGAAAAATCATCAATGATGGACAGAAAATATCTCTTACCCCCGTGGGTAGAGACACTAGCAGGACCCCACACATCAGCATGAACATACTCTAACACAGAGGTACACTTAGTGGGATTAGGATATGGGGAGGAGGGGAATGTAACCTTATGCTGCTTGCCTAACACACAAGATTCACAGAAGGGGATGGGGGACACAGAATCCTTACCAAAACAACCAGATTTATGCAAAATCTCTAAACCCCTATTACTCATGTGTCCTAATCTATTATGCCACAAAGCAGATTTATCAGAACTAACAACATGAGCAGAATCACAGAAAGGCTGAGCATGGCACACATACAAGTTATTCACCTTTTTTGCCTTAAACAAAACAAGGGAATTTTTCAAAACTTTCATGCACCCATTACCCCATTTACCCTCTAATCCACTACCCTCAAAAGCAGCGACAGAAAACAAGTTATGACGCAAATCAGGAACATGTCTCACATTTTTCATAGTAAACACAGTCCCATTATCAAACTTCAAGCATACATTACCCACCCCATGAATTTTGCATTTCTTATTATCAGCAAGAGACACAAAACCATCATTGCAAGACTCATAAGAAGAAAACAGGGATTTAAAAGGTGTCATATGATAAGTACAACCAGAGTCAATCAACCACTCATTTTCAGTCATGCTACTCAACACAGAATTGGCAGAATCACAAATCATAAAAACTTCTTCATGCAAGTTATTATCATCTACCACATTAGCATGTTCAGACTTCTTAGGATGGGGACAATCCTTAATGAAGTGACTAGAATTACCACAATTATAGCACACTCTCTTCTTAGACTTACCTCTCTTCTTCCCCGGGTCATTGTTTTTGTTCTTATCGTTGTTGCCCTTCTTATGGTTTCTAGATCTACTCTTAGACCTACCCCTCACAAACAACGCTTCACCTGAGTCCCTAGACTGACTGTTACTACCCCTCGAGTGTCTAAGGTCTAACTCCTTACTCCTTAATCCATTAATGACTACATCCAACGAGATATCATCTCTACCATACTTTATGGCAGATTTGACGTCATTGTATGAGTCAGGGATGGCATTAAGTAACACTATGGGTGTGTAGTCATCTATGTGTTTATCACCGGCTTGCTTAATATTCTGAATAAGCTTGTTAAACACATCTAGGTTCTCATCTATGTCCTTAGACAGGTCAAGCCTAAATCTAAAGAACTTCTCAAGCAAAAACAATTTACCAGGCAAAGAAGTATCAGTATACGTCTTATCTAACTTGTCCCATAAAGCCTTTGCAGAATCTATAATACCCACCTTCCTGAGTACTGAATCAGAAAGGTTCAGGTATATAGAGGAACAAGCAGTTTCATTCATTTCATCGCGCTTAGCAGCATCCTCAGAGTCTAAATAGAGACCAGTCACAGCTCTATAGACTTTCTGTTGGATCAACACGCATTTGATTTTCTGTTTCCAGATATCAAAATCTGTCTTTCCGTTAAATGGAAGCATGCCATATTGATTGACAGCCATATTAAACGGAAAGCAAGCACAACACGCAAGAGAGTAAATAAAAAATTTATCAGGCTGTCAACCGGTACGAAGCAACTAGCACGAACAAGCCGAGAAGACCAATGAACACAAGGCTCGGGTACAATCTCCTTGTTCTTTCGTACCGTACGAAGCAACTAGCACGAACAAGCCGAGAAGACCAATGAACGCAAGGCTCGAGTACAATCTCCTTGTTCTTTCGTACAAGCAAGATAAAAATTTTATTTACTCAACAGACAGATAAATGATTAATTATAACCTATAGGGCTATTAATTGTACGAAGCAACTAGCACGAACAAGCCGAGAAGACCAATGAACACAAAGTTCGGGTACAGTCTCCTTGTTCTTTCGTACAAGCACAAATAGGCTAAAAATTAAATCAACAAGCAAAGAAACTGGATTTAAAACTAATCCGGACAGAAATATTCCCAACTTCGGACAACAAGTATCCAAACAAATATTCTTAACCGGAGAGTTTATCCACGAATCAATCAACAGAAAAATCAAAATAAAAAATCCAACACGTGATTAAATTTAAACCGGAAGAAATATTCACAACTTTGGACAACGAGTATCCAAACAAAATATTCTTCACCGAAAATTAATTCACGATTCAACAAGTAATCACAATTCAACCAAACAAGTAATTGCAATTCAACTTGAAAATTAAAATGAATGAGCTACGAATAAAAATCACACAAAGGATTAGTAAACGTACCAGGGACCGGGCACAGCCGGTTTCCAAGACCACGCAGGTCAGCAGTGGGGGAGCGGGGAAAAAAAAAAAAAATCCGGTGGCACTCCGGTACACCAAGGATGTTAAAGCCAATTTACCTGAGCGGGGCCCGAGGTTGGGTTACCCGACTTACCGTAGGCAGCGTGGGCTGCTGCAGAGCCGGTGGAAGCGGACTGGACAGGCGGCAGCACTCCCCGGCAGGCGGCAGAACTCTGGACTGCGACTGGCAGAACTTCTGTGGACTGCCTGAAGCTTCTGGACGGCTGGATGGCTCCTGGCAGAAAGCCTGGATGGTGCAGCAACTCCAGGCGACGGCGGCTGGACGTCCGACGGCGGCGGGCGGCGGCGAGACGGCGGCGGGCGGCGGCTGGCTCTGATACCACTGTAAGAACTAAGTTCCAGCTCAGGTCTCAGTCAATTAACATCCACAAAGGATGAAATCAACCACTAGGATCACTTGGGGGAGTTTATGGGCATCTGCCTTCTACCTATTTCCGGCCAAAATCAACGGAGCACCCACAGAGGAGCTACTGGTGAGAAAAGAGATAACAAGGGTTTCGGCCGTCCCGCTCAATCGGCAGAGAAGAAGGTATAAATAGGTCCAGCACAAGAAACAAAGATGGTAAAACTTACCATATCAAAGAGATACGTAAAAGCTCATATGGAAAGAGGATATGCGTGAACCGAGTGCCGCTGGGAAGAAAATTCCATCGCAAGGGAGATGGGAGAAACGAACGGGTATAATAATTTTGGGCCGGGTACCTCCTTCAATTTGGACTTAAGGAAATAATGGGCCAATACCTAACAGAATTGAAACTCACAATTAATAATTGAAAACGATGTTTATTATTGGGATGTAACAGTAATAATGTCTGTCTCAAATAATATGTAATTATATATATAATAATTTTTATTATTAGTTTAATAGTTTATATTACTTTATAACATATAATAAATTAAAAATGTACGGAGCAATAGAGCATATAAGCAGCTCAGCGTGTGCAGCGAGCGTGTTTAATTGTTTATTACGGAGTATATAATATACTCCCTCCGTCCCGAAAAGGTTGGCCAAAGTTGACTTTCACGTTGATTAATAAAATAAAAACTGTGTGATTGAAATTTGTGCAGAGGAGAGAGAATTAACTTTAGCCACATATTCCTTACTTTAAATGGAAATGTCAAATCTTTTTGGGACATCCAAAAAAGGAAATTAGGCCAACCTTTTCGGGTCAGAGGGAGTATAAAAGTATATATATGCATATATTGATAACACACATGTGTATAAATATACTAATTATTTAAATACTTAACAAATTAAAATATTACAAAACTAAATCCACTATACAAGAAAAGAATGAGAGATCGGTGGACCTAGGAATCTATTGGTCTCTAGTCGTCTGCTTCGACACTACGACTCTGCTATTTGAGTTAGACGATGATGGCAACGAAGTTCGTAAGATTACTTTGGACTTTATCTATTCTTAATTTCTTTTTTGGGCCTGGCCGACGGCTACTGGGGAAAATAGGCTATTAGGCGGCGACTAGTCGCCAAATTCACGCCTGGACGACGCCAAGCTCGACTAATCTTCTTCCGGGGAGGCGAGAGTACCCGGCAAGAACTACCTAGCGCCAGGACGCCTAGTAGACGACTAGGTGACGACATGACAAGTATGGCGGAGAATAACTATGAAGAGTCTTAAGGAAATAATCGGTGCCCGACCTAGTCAAGACACATCAAATTAAATCTTCCCGGGTCCTTTATCAAATAGGTCCCTTATATAGAGATTACAAGAGTCCTAATTGGAAGCATAAGGATAATAGGAAGTTTCCTAAATTAAATAAGGAAATAACTAATAACAGCTTTCCTATTCCTCATGGTCAGCCACAGAGCATTCTGATCTTTCCAGATTTGATCAACTAACTCCCCTAACCTTCACGCCCACGCCTTCGTTGATATACTATTCCATAATATGGATCCATAACAGATTGTCCATTAGCCTCATCATTGCCAACCTTTGGAGAGCCCCAACCACTACCTGATGATTCTTTACCACAACCATCTTTGGAAGAACCCCAACTACTATCGGCTACTCCAGTTGCTTCTTTCGATTTTTCGAGGTCTGAAACTTCAGACCCCCAACCTCGTGGGTTTTCATTTGTACTCTTCTGTGGCGTACCCCACTGATATTGGGAAATGTTTTTATTAGTGCCAACCTTAGGAGAACCCCAACCACCACCAGCTGAGTCATTACTCCCTTTAATGATTGGAGGCTCTGTTTTCTGTGAGGCCCAGTCAGAACCACTGCCACCCTTAGAGAAACCCCAACTACCACCGGCTGAGTCATTGACATGAGATTCTATTTTTTGTGAAGGCCAATCAGAACGACTTCCACCCTTAGACGAACCCCTACCACCACCGGCCAAGTCATTACTCCTTTCATTAACCGGGAACTCTTTTTTTTGTGAGGTCGAGGCAGCGGCAGCGGCAGCAGCAGCAGCACCACCCTTGGAAGAACCCCAACCACCATCGACTGAGTCATTGACCAGGCACTCTTTTTTCTGTGAGTTCCAATCAGCACCACCACCACTCATGGAAGAACCCCAACCACCACCTGCTGAGTCATTGACACGAGAACCTCTTTTCTGCGAGGCATAATCCGGACCACAACCACCCTTGGAGGAACCCCAACCACCACTGGATGAGTCATTATTGACCACAGACCCTCTCTTCTGTGAGGTCCAATCACCAGCAGCACCCTTAAAGGAACCCCAACCACAACTGGGTGAATCATTACTCCTTTCACTAACAGGAGACTCTCTCTTCTGTGATGCCCAATCAGCAGCAGCAGCACCACCCTTGGAAGAACCCCAGCCACCACCTGAGTCATTGATTGCAGACTCTCTTTTCTTTGAGACCCAATCAGAACAACCACTACTCTTATTAGAGGAAGCCCACCCTCCAACCGCTTCATTCTTCTGTTTACCTGAGTTACCTTTTCTACCCCAGCTACCTTCTTCTGTAGACTTGGAACTGGTATTACCCCAGCTACCTTGTGTTGTTTCTGCTTGAGTCGGTGATTCATTGGTTCCTTTTCGCCACGCGTTCCATTCCCCTCCTTGCTTCTTTCCACCGCTATCTTCTTGGGCACTTTTTCCCCAAGCAGAGGAGGGATCAGATTCATCATCATTTGCCCCCCAGGAGGATCCAGGCTGAACGAGACCTTTATTAGATTCTGGTTTATTACTCCAACCACCACTGGAGGTTGACGGAGCTCCATCGGTAGTTCGGTTCCAGTTTCCAGAACTTGGCTTCGGGTTGACATCATCCGGATGATAACTGACAACATTCTCAACAATATACGCCTTGCCATCAGGAGTTAGTGGATCACCGTCATTCAACCTTTGATCACAAGAAGAAGAAGAAGAAGAAAGACAAGTGAAACAAGTTAGAACGCGATGCACTTTTTTCATTTTCCATTTATATTACTACTTATGAAAATTGGAACACAGTATCAAGTTTTGCAAGAAGCACACAATATTTAATAGAACTCCAAAATCAAATTGAAACAACATTCTTAAAGCAATCATAAATGAGAAGCAACTTAGACAAGTATCATATTAGATTTAAATGTTCATCCACCATAATTAGTAAATGTGATTACCCTAATTGATGCTTTATCCTTCTGATGTTTTGCATGCTACGCTCAATCTCAACGAGAATCTCTTGCTCCTCATGCTCCTCAGCTGTGAATTTGACCAACCTCTGCCTTGTAAAGGTGAAAGCCACACCAGCCCCAGAATTATCAGCTGGATTTGGTGGGAGGTTTCCCTTATTCTTCCAATCCCCTCCTCCAGCACCTGCAGAAGCCCCCCAACTTTGCACACTTTCATTATTGTCTTCTCTATTCCTCTTCCGTGGGAGCCATTGAGATTCTCCATTGCCCCCCTCGTCATTGTTACCAACCTTTGGAGAGCCCAACGCAGCACCAGCACCTGAATCATTCCTGTGTTCATCTGCCTCACCAGAGGATCCTACACTCTTGTGTGCGCCCCGTTGAAATTGTCCCTTAGCCCCATCATTGTTGCCAACCTTTGGAGAGCCCCAACCACTACCAGACGATTCATTTCCACAAGCATCTTTGGAAGAACCCCAACCACCAACGGCTACTCCAGTAGTTTCTTTCGATTTTTCAGTGTCTGAAACTTCAGAGCCCCAACCTCGCGGGTTTTCATTTGTACTCTTCTGTGGCGTACCCCACTGAGATTGGGAAATGTTTTTATTAGTGCGAACCTCAGGAGAACCCCAACTACCACCGGCTGAGTCATTGACATGAGATTCTAATTTCTGTGAAGGCCAATTAGATCCACTTCCACCCTTAGATGAACCCCAACCACTACCGGCCAAGTCATTACTCCGTTCATTAACCGGTGACTCTTTTTTTTGTGAGGTCCAGGCAGCAGCAGCAGAACCACCACACTTGGAAGTACCCCAACCACCATCGGCTGAGTCAATGACCAGACACCCTTTTTTCTGTGAGATCCAATCAGCACCACCATCACTCTTGGAAGAACCCCAACCACCACCTGCTGAGTCATTCACATGAGAACCTCTTTTCTGCGAGGCCCAATCAGGACCACAATCACCCTTAGAGGAACCCCAACCACCACTGGATGAGTCATTGTTGACTGCAGACCCTCTTTTCTGTGAGGACCAATCAGCACCCTTGAAGGAACCCCAACCACCACTGGGTGAACCATTACTCCTTTCACTAACAAGAGACTCCCTTTTCTGTGATGCCCAATCAGTTCTAGCTTCTGGAGTGGCACCCCAACCACCGGTGGCAGCAGCATTAGTAGGCTCTTGTTGTATGGGTTGTTCAGTTCCAGCTTCTGGAGTGGCACCCCCACCACTATTTTCATGTTGTTTCCGACCAGGGTGACGAGGCAGGGGCGGGAGCCGTTTTACATAGAAATACTTCTGGTTGAAGGTTTCAGCTTTATCCGGGAACTTGGTCTTCACTAAGTTTTCCAGGCACTTACGGTAGGAAAAATCTTGTTTGGCACCATCAGTTGACACCACGTAGAAGCATCTAGTGTCCTGGACAGTACTGTGCTTGCTAATCTGTAATTCACGCAATAATTAAGAGATTGTTGTTGCCACATTAATAAAGTACTGTATAGGCATAAGAATTCTACACTGAAGCAAAGTAAAGTCAATAAGTACTAAAAACGTAATTTGTAAACATAACTAAGAAAATTGCCCAGTCTACAAACACTAGAAGAAATACTAAAAACATAACATGTACTACCTCCGTCCCACTATGTTTGGGAAAAAAGAGTGTGGCACAACTTTTAAGAAAAAGTGGAATTATGTGGTTGGTATTGAATTGATAAGGTGTGAATAACTCAATAAAGTAAGAATGAATTGTAACCACCCAAATATTACCAAATATGGTATGAGACAAACTTAATGGGACGGACGAAAACGGTAAAATGGGACAAAGTTAGGGGGACGGAAGGAGTAATAAATTCAGATGCAGTGCAGCAGAGCGTACCATAAGGTAATCAACTCCAGCTCCAATTTTTGAGGCTTTATCCGGATGATAACTGACAACATTCTCAACAATATATGCCTTGTCATCAGGAGTTAGTGGATCACCGTCATTCAACCTTTGATCAAAATAAGAAGAAGAAGAAGAAAAAGAAAGACGAGTGAAACAAGTTAGAACGCGATGCACGTTTCATTTTCTAATTATATTACTACATATGAAAATTGGAACATAGTATCAAGTTTTGCAAGAAGCACACAAAATTTTATGGAACTCCAAAATCAAATGGAAACATCATTCTTCAAGCAATCATAAATGAGAAGCAACTTAGACAAGTATCAGATTAGATTAAAATGTGCATCCACCATAATAAGTAAATGTGATTACCCTGATTGATGCATTATCCTTCTGATGTTTTGCATGATAGGCTCAACCTCAAGGAGAATCTCTTGCTCCTCAGCTGTGAAATTATCCATCCTCTGCCTTGTAAAGGTGAAAGCCACACCAGCACCAGAATCATCAGCTGGCCTTTGTGGACGGTTTATCTTATTCTTCCAATCCCCTCCTCCAGCACCTGCAGAAGCCCCCCAACTTCGCGGACTTTCATTGTTGTCTTCTCTATTTCTCTTTTGTGGGACCCATTGAGATTGTCCATTGCCCCCCTTGTCATTGTTACCAACCTTTGGAGAGCCCCAACCAGCACCAGCACCTGAATCGTTCCTGCCTTCCTCTGCTTCACCAGAGGATCCTACACTCTTGCGTGCGCCCCATTGAGATTGTCCATTAGCCTTATCATTGTTGCCAACCTTTGGAGAGCCCCAACCACCATCGGCTACTCCAGTATCTTTTTTCGATTTTTTAGTGTCTGAAACTGCAGAGCCCCAAACTCGCGGGTTTTCATTTGTACTCTTCTGTGGCGTACCCCACTGAGATTGGGAAATGTTTTTATTAGTGCCAACCTTAGGAGAACCCCAACCACCACCAGCTGAGTCATTAGACTCATTACTCCCTTCAATGATTGGAGGCTCTCTTTTCTGTGAGGCCCAGTCAGAACCACTGGCACCCTTAGACGAACCCCAACTAGCACCGGCTGAGTCAATTACATGAGATCCTATTTTCTGTGAAGGCCAATCTGAACCGCTTCCACCCTTAGACGAACCCCAACCACTACAGGCCAAGTCATTACTCCTTTCATAAACCGGGGACTCTTTTTTTTGTGAGGTCCAGGCAGCAGCAGCACCACTCTTGGAAGAACCCCAACCACCACCTGCTGAGTCATTGACACGAAAACCTCTTTTCTGTGAGGCCCAATCAGGACCACAACCACCCTTGGAGGAACCCCAACCACCACTGGATGAGTCATTATTGACCGCAGACCCTCTTGTCTTTGAGGCCCAGTCAGCACCCGTAGATGAACCCCAACCACCACTGGGTGAATCATTACTTCTTTCACTGACAGGAGATTCCGTTTTCTGTGATGCCCAATCAGCAGCAGCAGTACCACCCTTGGAAGAACCCCAGCCACCACCTGAGTCATTGATTGCAGACTCTCCTTTCTTTGAGGCCCAATCAGAACAACCACTACTCTTATTAGATTCCTTAAAGTTAAAACCAGGTGCCTCTGCACAGTAAGATATTTTCGTGGACCGCTTGAGGATAGGCTTATATTGAATTTCCACAAAAGAGTCCACAAGAATATCAACATGTCACAAGACATTATAACTGATTTTGATTGATCGATAATCCATGGCTAAGAGATGGCAAAAGAAGATAACATTGAAGGAGGCATAAGAAATTCACCAATAAAAAACATTACTAGCCTCCCAAACAAAAGACTGGCACGCATTTTTTTAAAACCAGTAGGAAAACCACCAAAATCAGTGGGGTCTGGGGAACATCTACCAAATTTTATTCAAAAAAGGACGAACAGTACAGTACAGAACGGGAGGGGAAATAATCCTTACTCCCAAAAACCAGAATACATCCATTATGAGCTAGAGAAATAAGGAATCTCTCGACTATCCAAATCTAAAATTTCTAAACTTTGATCTGGGAGATTCTTAACATTATAGACAACTATAGAATCACTATCCAATTCATGCATCCTAGCTATATGGTAGGCCACCCAATTAGATTGGTACAGAATATATGTCAGGAAGGAATTTTGAAATCATTGATAAATGCTTAATAATTGAAGACTATTTTAATCATGGTTTAGTCAAGGCCACTTAAATTGCAACAGTAGCATTCAGCAGTGAACAAACAAGACATTCAAAATTAACACCCACCCTCAGCAAGCCCAGATACGGTTGCTATATTAAAGAAAACAAATTGATCAATGGGTAATACCTGAAAAGCTTGCTCAAAAGCACAAGAAATCCCAAGCAATTCTTGCACTTGTTTGATAGCATATGGTATAGAACGTCTTGTGTCAATAAGATGAATATAAGGGACGCATGAGTCCATGATTATTCTCCAAGTATCTCCACTTTGTTTGACAGCTTCCTTCTCAAGAAGGACTTCTAGAGCCAATTCACCTGGTTGATTCTTGCCAGAGCCCCTAATCGAAGTCATCGTCTCAGCACTACTCCAGATTATATTAGCAGAAGAGACCCTATGATCACCTATGAATTACAAGTTTACTATGACATTTGATTCTGCTTTCGAGCATTGTCAAGAAGAGCCTTTTCCATCTAAAACAAAATTGCAGTGGGGGGACATCTAAAGGATACCAAGTAACATAACTAACATCCTTAAAGGAGAAGCGTATCCATAGATATGCATATCATCAAAATCCAAATAAATCTACTCACATTTGAGGCGTAAAAACATTAGTGTCATGTGAGAAGTGTATGTATCCTTAAATACACTGAACACAGCAGCACTAAATGTAATAACGAAAAAAATGCATATTCTATACCTTTTACAACAGTTTCCAGCAGAATTGGGCAAATTGTGTCTGCAAAAATGTGAGCCAATTTTTCTAATTGATCATAACCTGGATCCAGCGGCCAAGAGAACCGCACACATGGCATCTCCCCTGATTTACTTTTGCCTTCACCAAAAGAACAACATGCACTGGGAAGGAGCAGAATTTCAAACGTTTGTAAATGTACCTCTAAAGCATTTTACTCTGCTAAGGACAAAATATAAGAGTACTAAGATGAAACATGTATAAAGACATCAAAGCGCTGAATAGTATATTGATATTGAACAGAACTTATCAGTCAATACCAAAACCAGTACCTGGTAATGAGCATCACAAAGTTGGCTCAAAATCAATCTATTTGAGGTTGGGTCATAGTTATTATGGGCGTGAGGCTTAAGTCGAACACCAAGCATGTTTAACGAGTAAAGGGTCAGATTGGTACTCGAAGTTGTATAAAAAAGGTCAAATAAGTCCTTATATAGGAGGCTCTGTCCGCCCGTCGCCATTTGGGGCGGTTCCCGGGGGAATATTTTGACAAATTTTTTTGAGCATCTTATTCATTAAGTCTAGTTTACTCATACCAAATTTCAGTTAAAACTTCAACCGGGAAGGCATTGAAATGAATTCTTGAAGATAACTGTGCAGTTAAAAGCGCTTTATCTTCAAGAATTCAATTGAAAGCCTTACCGAATGAAGTTTTAGCTGAAATTTGGTATGAGTAAACTAGACTTAATGTATAATATGCTCAAAAAAATCCACCGGGAACCGCCCCAAATGGCGACGGCTGGACAGTAAGGAATTATTTGACCCTTTTTATGCAATTTTGAGTACCAATCTGACCCTTTACTCCATGTTTAGCTAATCCTAGAGGAGCCGTTTCAAGTTCAAAAATAGTAATGGATGTGTGCACATAGGCAGTGAGTCACGCCAAAGCGCGCACCTTTGTAACATGAAATGCCTCATTCTCAAAAAGGCATCATGCTTTGGGTTAGGTTTCTGATACTCCAAACAAATTAAGAAAACCAATAGGAAACATCAAGAGTGACACTGGATCCCTGCAGGTTTGCTTAGGAATTATTGGAATGAGGAGAGGCTTCAGAACTTTAACAGTCTAAGTAACCCATTTCATAGCTATGATAACTTCTTTTAAGTAACCCATTTTTGTTTGAACTTATTTATGCTTACAAAAAAAGATTAGTTAAGTAAGCTCAAGTTCGAACAGCGTGATTTGGAGGGTTTTAATATTGGTTATGTACTAAGAAGTAACAGCACATTATAGACACAAATCGAATAGTAAGTTTTTTTTTAAATACAACATCCAAGCTTACATATATTTTTAAGAACTAACCGCACATTTTTTTTAAATAAATAAAAATAAGTGGAAATATTATGATATGACGTGTAAATATACCCTACAAGAAATTAACACAATTTCAAGAGTCGAATGCAACCTGACTGACAGCTCGATTTGTCTGAATAGATGAGCATTTTTTTCCTTCCTCCTGAAGGAAGAATAAACTTTCTCCTCACATTTTTCAAGAATCTCATTGAGATCAACACTCAGATTTTCAAAGTGCGACTGGCCAATACAAAGATTCACATGTATTTGAAATAGTCAAGAAAAGGAATCCAAAAATTTGCAAATAATAATCAAAGAACAGCACTAAACCTTGTTCAGATGAATGTGGCCAACAAAGCTCCCGCCTCCACCTAAAATCTCATATCCAGTCTGTGATGTCGCATATCTGTAAGAGTGAAGCACCAATATTTTCTTTTAAGTTGATAAGAATGCGGATAAATTGACTCTTTTCAGGATACTTACATTCATACACCATACAGCAAAGCAAATACAGCATTACAAGGACTGAAGGAGAATGACATGAAAAGGCAAAACCACTTTAAGGAACCAGGCAACCAGCACCAAGCATAGACATGTGCAACACAAAATTAAGCAAAAAACTAAAAATGCAAAAAAAAAAAAAAAAATCAAAAGAAAATGAGTTAGAGGCATACTCAATCAAGAACTCATCAGCAGCATCCTTCAAACAGAGTTTTCTCAAATGATTGCTCAATACGTAGGCTGATTTTTCGCGGCAATATCTACTTCCGCATCCACAGTCATTTAGATAAAGTATTACACGGCGGTCAGATACAGTATTCTTGAAACTGACTCCACAAAGCAGGATTTCCTGAGTCTGGAAAGAAAATGTACATATGACCGAATATAATAGCAAGTTAAGATCCATGTACTCAAACCAGAACACATCCTTAGAGGTTGAGAGAATACGTTCATCATTTCCCACGAAGAGGTACTGCCTTGGAGATAATCCAGCAATGCCTTGTATGCAGGATTTGACATAGCAGTTGCAGCCAATAATCCTACACGATCACCAACACCGAACTCACTCTGAAACATGCCTTCATTGGAGGATATTGTATTTATTGTTTTTTAATTGGTTATTTTCCACGCCATGTATGCAATAAATTTTATTAAAACCTAAATTTTAATATAAATTTTTTTATATTAAAACCTAAATTTTAATATAAAAAAAAAACTACTTCGTAGTTTATATTAAGTAAGGTGCAATAAATTAAACCTAAATTAAACCTAAATTTTACTTCGTAGTTTTTATTAGTCCTTATTTCCTTTTTGGGACGTTTTTGTTTATTTGTCTCCTTTCCCTTTAAGGAAAGTTTTTGAGAAAATACCCTTATTTTTATTACTTTTACCCCACTTACTTTTTACAAACTATTTTCTCTTTCCTACTTTACCATCACTTTACTCTTCTTAATACACTCTCTTTCCTACTTTATCATCATTTTACTCTTTTTAATATACCATCTTTCCTACTTTATCATTTACCCTACACACTCTATACTTACCCTACTACTTTATTATTAAATCTCGTGTCAAACCCTAAGGGGACTAATATTAAAGAACGGAGGTAGTATTAAAAACTAGTTTATACTAGAGTCAATTACCTAAATAGAACTAAAAAGTGACAAAATTGCACAAATATGACTACATTTTTTAAATTTCCTTAATAGGACTATTTATGTGTGTTTGGACAAATATACCCTTGTAACTTGTGAAATGTTTTAATTAATAATAAAATCATAAAAAAATCGAAAAAAATAATAGAACATTAATAAAAATATTTTTTAAAAAATTATTTTTTTTAAATTAAAAAAATTAAATAAATCGAAAAATTTAAAAAAAAAACATTACCACCCCTGCCACCCCAGCACCACCAGCTCCCATCACCGGAGAAAAATATGCCAACATTTTAAATAATGCCATAATGATGGCATATTCAATGAAAATGTTGGCATGTTGAAGAGTAATTATTCCATCTTTTTGGCATTTTCAGAAAAAGATGACATTTTTTACCAAAAGTGGAAGAAATTTCACCAATCGGAGGTGGTGGTGCTGGGAGGTAGCGGGAGGCGGTGGGAAAGGTATCCTTAATTTATTTAATTTTTTAATGGGTTTTTACTATTTTTTTATTATTTTTTAAAAAAATTAAAAAAAAAAATTAAATTTTTTATTTTATAAATGTTTTGTAAATTTTTTATAATTTTTTTACGTTTTAAAATATTTTTTACGTTTTTTTATGATTTTATTATGAATTAAAGCATTTCAATATGAATTAATACTCTTAAGGGTATTTAGGGTAGAAAATCAATGTTTAGTCCTATTTAGGGAATTTAAAAAGTAGTAGTCCTATTTGTGCTTTTTAGGAACTCATTAGTCCTATTTAGGACAATTTCCGTTTATACTAAGTGAACTTAGGCTCGTGCGTAAAATAGTGTTTGGAAATAAATAAAATCAACCTAAATTAATGTCATAAATGTTGTTGGATGAAGGTACTCTAGCTTATTTTATGTTGAACAGTAAGTTAACCTCCAAAACTTTCGGCTTCGGAGGTTCTTCAATTTGAAGTGTTCTCGGGAGTTATGTGAGGTCAAGTCATAACCTAAGTTCTTTTTACAAAAACACAAACAAACGAGGTTAACTAAAAATTAACCTCCGAACGAACATGTCATTAAAATGCCATCAATATACATGTATCTAATACTCAAGTCGTTTCTAAATCAAAGTCACACTTTTATTTTACACTTATTAAGGAAATAATTTTTTTATTAGGAATAAATTTTAATGTAGAGTGCACTGTTTTGACGCTGTTTTGATATGTTTGACACTATTTTACACTATTTTGTACTATTTTGATATAGATTTGTTTGTCAAATAAGAAAGTGTGACTTTGTTTTAAAACATTCAAAGAGCTAAGGGAAAGTGTGATTTTGATTTAGAAATAGAGGCAGTAGGTACCTAATATAATGGGGTTATTGTGGTGTGATATTATAAATCTATTATATTTAATATTTAATAATTAAATTGTCGTTTAAGATATTTGTTTGGTGGCGGACGGCCTCTAGAGCTCCTGGCCTCTAGGGTTTTCTTTTGAGCAGTTTTTCTTCGGTGGCCTAGTGATCTTCATCAACTCACCAGAGAGTTTTGGTTAGCAGCAACGATCGGCAAGGAGTGGAACGCAACAAACAGGTTAACTCCAAGACGCTAGATGGACGGCGATCATAGTCAACAAGAAATTGAGTTCTTCTCCCATGCCTATGGAAGGATGGAGTTGGAAGAAGAGGATGAAGTTTAATTTTACTAATGAAAGCCACAGATTCGGGCACATCAAGTCTAAATCTTTCACTGATCGGAGCCATAACCTCGAAAAAATTGATGGGGCACGTTTTTTGTGGCGAAATTGGAGGCTCGCCAGAGAATATGACGAATAAGAGGCAGTGTGAGGAAAACAATATTGTTGGCGCGTCCCCCCCCCCCCCCCCCCCGAACCGCCGACAATGAGTACAGGAGAGTCTAAGGTTTAAAAGAAAACGAGTGAACTATGTTTTAATTCCAATTTAGTTTGTTTGAGTTTTTATTTAAGTACTATGTTGTTATCGTTATCATTGTCTTTGGGGGAAGTAGATTTATCTTTTTCTTTTTTTGGCTAGTTAGTAATTTGTGTGGAAGCACTCAAGTTGTGTTGGCCTCTAATAGCTTCGAAGCTCTCGCAAGTTTGGCAATTAGTCTCGTTCGATTTTGGGTGATCCATTATATGTCTGTTCAAAGGGTGAGGGAGTCTGTTGGCTATAAGGAGTCTAGAGGATTGTTTTGGTTTCTTGATGTTGCTGGAATGTTGGTTCCTATGATTTTAATATAAGTTTCTTTCCTTTCAAAAAATAAAAATTGTAATTTAAGATTGTAAATTGTTTTCTAAAATTGAAATGGAAACTTTTATATAGGACGTCCAATATAAAAGGTCGTAATTTAGGAACCTTCTTACATGATGAATAGAGTATTATTTGATTTAGCTTTACAAAAAGGTCGTATGTTGTACAACCCCCTCATTCCTCCACTTGTTGTATGGGACTCCCAAGCTTCTCAGTCAGTCTCTAAAAAAGTTCGATGAGAAGTCCACATGTTTTGAAATTTGAATGGCTTAGGACCAATCACTAATTGATTCTTGCATTGCAATAGGAGAGGAGAATGACCAGAAGAAGTCTTGTTGAGATGGTTAATCTGAAATGTATTATACAGACTCAAGAAAGCAGGATTAAACAACACTCTATCCATCCTTCTCCATACTCTACCATTGGCTCTAACCTTAGACCGAGTAAAAGGTGATCCATGAAATGGTAAGTCAGTCAACTCACAATTAGCTAAGCAATCCTTGAAATCCGTCATACTGCTCAACATAGGCATAGTCTGACCTTTGTGTTCTCCCTGATTAGCAATAGCATTGAAGTCACCTCCCACAAACCAATGAACTCTATTACTAGCAGCACATCCTTCCAAAAAACTTCAAAGATTTCTTCTTTCTATGTACTTGTGACTCCCATAGATTGAAGTTAACCAAAAGGAGAAAGATCCAATGTGAATTTTCATATGTATAAACTCATTTCCAGTTGAAAGTTCTATGATATCAAGCTTAGACTTATCCCAGAATATCCAAATTTTGTTATCATTGCAGTAAAAAGTAGAATTCAAACCAAGCTCAATAGCAATCCCATATATTTTATTGGAAGAAACAATTGGTTCAATAATAATCAACAAATTAATACTCCACTGTCTATTTAACTCTCGTAGTCTTGGACAGGAAGAAACAAGACCACGAACATTCCATAAAATGCAATTCATCAGGGAATGGCAGAAAAAGCTTGAGCCATCTTTTTAGTTGCATTCCTAGTGATTCTAGGAGTGACTGGGACTACCTCCCTAGGTTGCTTTTTTTTTCTTCCTTGCTACAGTAATGAATCCCTCACCCTGAACTTTATTCTGTGAATCCAGATAAGCTAGAAGATATGCCTTTTCAAGCTGGTGAGGAATTCTCTTGAGCACTGCATTAACTTTGCTGGTAAGCTGAAGTTGGCCTTCTTTCCACCTTCGAATGTTATCAATAAAGAAACCATCTCCATCAGATGAGTACCCTTTTGCAACTAAAGATAGATCATAATTTTTGTTCTTTTTAATCTGCAAAATGTTGTAGTCATCCCCAACTCTATTAGTCTGATACAATTCAGAGTGAGTAATTCCTTCAATGACAGACTCATTCTTATGATATGCAGGTACTTGAAATTATGAATCCTGTTCAACAGGTGTTGCCCCAATAGGAACTAGAGTCTCAATATATACTTGCTCAGTGTCAGTATCAATGTCCACATCAACTCTTTCCTGAGCTCCCTTAGATGTTGATGGAATGTCAGTCAATTCAAGCTGCTGTATAACAGGCTGGAAGTCAAGCAAAATCCCTTTCCCTTTATCACCATATGAATTGGATGTAATTTTTTATCACATATATTCCCCTCCCCTTTCTCCCTGCTTGTTATAATTGTAGCCTTATCATTGATCTTTAGACTTTTGGGTTTAGCAACCCACTTTTTAGAAAAGAATGGTCTGTTTTCATAAATCTGTTTTCAACCCACTTCAGAGTGGGCCATTACCCATTGGTGGCACATTATTCTTCTTAGGGCAAGAATGAATGGAATGGCTTAAGTGAAGACAATGACCACAATAGAATGGTCTGTTTCATAAATCACAGCCTGAAAAAACCGTGTGATCCACACCTTATTTGGCATCTCTTGTGATAAATCAACCTCAACACACACCTTGGCCACAGATGGTCGTGAAAATGATGTTGTAGCAGCATCTATTTTCAATGGTCTTCCAACGAGCCTAGCAATATCAAATAAAGCTCTTTGATCATGTAAATGGATGGATAAATTTTCAAGGCTCAACCAAATTGGAACCATCGGTGATTCCACATTCGGTTAGAAGTCTGGTGTCCACTTTGTCACACGCATAACATTCCCGAATGTATCCCAAACATGTCTATTC